CAATTTTGCAACGGTTATGTTTTATTTTTTTTAATTCTAAATTTTCTTCTATTTTTTTCCTATAAATTCTCTCAAATTCTCACAATACACACACAATTCTCTCAAATTCTCTCCAATTCTCTTCTCTCAAGTCTCAAATTTTCTCAATACTCGAAATTCTCTCAAATTCTCTGAAATTCTCTCAATTTTCTCAATCCACGCAATTCTTTCTTAATTCTCCCAATTAATCCGCTCAATTCTCTCAATCCATTCGAAAAATGGCAAGTGGAAGTCGAGTGCCAACTGGCAAAGGTAAGAATATCGCGACGGAATCCCATCATTCTTTTGATCCTCGTGAATATGCAGATTTTCAAGATGATAAAATCAACATTTTTCGCGATGTGGAGCGCATCCTGACGCAAGAAAGTTTTCATCCTCCTGCTGAAATATCTACAACAAAGGAAGCGGAACGGGAATTTACATCTGACATTTGGAATCACTTCACGAAAATGGAAAGGTTTGATATCGGTAAAAAAAGGTATGATATAATTTGTAAATATTGTGGAAAAATATATAAATATACAGGTGGACAAGGATATGGAACATTTAAACGACATCTTATGAGCAAACATCCAACCGAAACGGGAATCGATATCGGGCAACAACAAATTTCCGGGTACGTCAATCCTAACACTTCCCCTTTATTTCGTTTTAATGAAAAAACTTATAAGGAAGAATTAGGCAAATTTATTTCCGTTGAGCATTTAGCATTTAATTTTGAAGAAAGATTTGGTTTTAATGAATTTGTACAAAAAGCATGTGCTCCACAAGCAAAACGTGTTCCTAGAAATTCAATTAAACGAGTAATTAAAGATCTTTACAAAAATGGAAAAAATGATTTACAAAACTTTTTTATGCAATTTAATGGATGCGTGCATATAGGTAGTGATATTTGGAGTGATCATTGGCAAAATCATTCTTACATGGGCATAACATGTCATTGGATAGATGACGAGTGGACTATTCAAAAAAGAGTTATTGCATTTAGAGTTTTCGATGATCATCATATGGCAAATAATATTTATAGAATAATTAGGCAAGTTTTAGAAGAATATTATTTGCTTAACAAAAAATTTTCAATTGGTTTTGATAATGCCGCAGCAAATACCGCTTCAATTGCCGAGTTAGAAAATATTTGTAAACCCGCTTTTGGCGGAAAATTTTTTCACATTAGATGTGCTTGTCATGTTTTAAATTTATGTGTACAAGATGGTTTGAAAACTCTTGATATTTTTCTTCAACCAATAAAAACGGCGATTCAATTTTTATGGAAACATCCCCAAAAAATGAAAGAATGGGGTAGATTTTGTAGAGAAAATGGCAAAAAGCCAAAAAGATTTTCAAGAGATGTTCCAACTCGTTGGAATTCTACTTTCCACTTGCTTAGTGAATCTTTAGCATATAAAGATTTATTATGTGCATTCATTTCTAATAATATACCTCAGATTAATTTATACCCACAAGAGTGGCATATTTGCCAAAAAATTTTAGATCTTTTAAAGGTTTTTAATGATGCAACTTATACTTTGTCTGGTGTTTATTATCCTACTACACATTTATTTTTAGTAGAGTGTACTAATATTGTCGGAACTTTTGATGAATATGAAAATGATGTTGAATTACAACATACTATAGTTGCAATGAAAATGAAATGGCTTCATTATTATAGTGAAATTCCCATGATTTATTTAGTTGCTTGTGTTTTTGATCCGCGTTGCAAATTGGATGGCTTAAATGATTTTTTGCGTGCGTATTATCAATGTTTACATTATGATGTGACAAATGTTACAACCATAGTACGTGAGGTTAAAAACGTAGTAATAGAATTATATAATGAATTTTATACTAAATATAATTTAGGTGATATTAGATCTTCTCAATCTACGAAGATACAAAATGACAATACAGGTAAAATTAGTAGATGGTACCAACTTTTATTACATAGACAAAAAAAACAAAAGGGAGTAATAGGAAATATTTCTGAATTAGAGAGTTATCTAACCATTTTATTTGAGTTTACTGAAGCCGAAGGTGGTACAGATTTTTTTTATTTTGGATTGGTGGAAGAGGCACGCAAGCCAATACCCAATCCTTTCTCTTATTGCAAAACAGATTTTTTCAACCCCTTGTTCCACAGTTGCAGTCGAACAAGCATTCAGTGCCGGAGGTAATATTTTGAACGAACATCGTTCAAGATTAGATCCAGAATTAGTGGAGATGCAAGCTTGTGTTGCTGATTGGACGAAGGCTCAATACCGGCAACAAGAGATAGATCGGAATAATGAATCCGAATTCTTTAACGATGGAGATACTACCGCTACCAGTATCCGTACTGGAACGGGTAGTGACGATTGAGGGTAAAAGAACTATTGGAGTTGGCAAGTATTTCGGGAACTCTTGTTTCTCATACCGGGTACGCCCACTTGAGCTTAGGGAAACCGAAATATAATCCGACGATATGTGACCTCTGGTCCCCTGCGCACGGAATGTTTAGATTTTGGGATAATTTTAGGGTATATATATTGTACTCCTTTTTTTTTAAGATCGTTGTAACGAATTGTAATGTGCTTAATGATAATTTATTAAGTTGAAGCCCTCTCTTTCTCTCTTGTCTTTTTGTCCCCAAATTTGAGTACAATTTACATTTTAATCACAATTTATATTGAATAATGTTCTATCACAAGAATAGTATTTATTTTATTTTTTTATTTTCATTTCTGTTTTTCCTTTTCTGTTTTTCTTCTTTTTCTTTTCCTTTTCCTTTCCTGTTTTTCCTTTTTCTCTTTTGTCTTTTTTCCTTGTTTCTGTTTTTTAAAATTATAATTTATATTTTTTTTTTTTCTTCCTCCGCGGCCGGCCATGGCCGGGGTCGGCGCGGAGGTCGCCGACGTCGGGCGAGGGGCCCTCGCCGGCGTCGGGCGAGGCTCGACCTCGCCGGCGTCGGGCGAGGCCGGCCCTCGCCCGGGCGGCGAGGCCGGGCTCGCCCGACGCCGGCGAGGGCCGCCTCGCCTGAGGCCGGCCTCGCCCGGGCGCCGGCGAGCGCCGCCTCGCTGAGGCCGGCGACCTCCGCGCCGGCCCGGCTATGGCCGGCCGCGGAGGAAGAAAAAAAAAAGAAAAGGAAAAGGAAAAGAAAAAAAACAGAAAAAAAAAAATCGGAACCGGCCCGGAACCGGTTCCGGTTCACACTTGGCCACGAACCGGAACCGGTCGGTTCCGAACCGTGGCCACCTCTAGGTGGAACCAAGGGTCGTCACTGTCGCTGACGACACAAATTTGACCATACCAATTGAACAGTGAAGATTCCATGACATGAACTTTACCCATGACATCAACGAACCTTTTCTTTTTAGGACAAAAAGAAGGAAAGGACAAATTGCTGAGACACGAAAATTGAATTTTAAAAAGAGTTCTTATTTAGAACACGTCATGGAAATTTCTTTGAAGCTTCCTGGAGCTACGGATTGAAAAGAATAATCCCTTTAGCTTACAAATAGCTTCAACCTTCAAAAAAGTGGGTGAGGAAGAAAAAAAAGCAAGTCACTTGACAAGGGACCCACTCATCTTTTGAAAATTCTTAGGTGCACGCTTCTGTTTCACACCACTTTCTTCACAGTAATGGTCCACTATTTGTTAAGCCCACTATTTGTTAAGCTGTGATACATGTACAAAGATATCTCTCTATATACACATATATCATGCAACTTAATTGTAAAGAAATCGAATTGAACAGACAAATCAGCATAATATTTTACAAAATGACCAGATGCTAAAAAGAGTGTGTAAGATACTCCTCTTAACGTTTTCGTCCTAAAAATTGCCATCATCTCTTTCTCTAGACATTGTTGAAAAAAAATCGACAGCAGCTGCTTCAACTTAATTTGCGTTTGCTAAACCACAGAAAAGGGCAAAAGAAATTAAGCTGGTGTCACCCTTCAGCAGCCGAGAAATTAGACAGGAACTTCGTTTATGGTAATCCCAATTGAATGAGCCGTAAAAATGGGCACTTTTCTTTAGATTGTTCTAACGCCAATTTGCCAGCATGAACATATGTAACACAGTTACACAGTTCTCTAATCACTTATGAGTATTGTATTGTTGGTGTGTTTTCTTGTATAATTTCTATTAATAGAAAAAGCAAGTCGTGTCAAGAAGCACCTGCGTAGTTTCCACGCACCCTCCGCATAATGCTGCGGAAATTGCCCTATAATTTTTTTTAATAGCAGAAAGTGCTGTGCATTGGTAACAAAACGTGGCACGCAGAGAATGGTGGAGACCACAACAATATAATTGGTCAAAGTCTAGATATTGTAGGTGATGATCTTGGCTTAAAATCTAAGCAAAAGAAGAATGTCCCCATGAAATAAAAAAAGGTTTGACAAAAAACAAAATAAAAAAAGTAAAAATGTATTATTGAATAAATATTCGATCATGGAGAATCCGTTGGCCGACACTGAAAGAATAAAATTTATGTAAAACATAAAAAATTATTAATTTTTTTTGGTCGGAAAAAATAGTAATTTAAGGACAAAGACAAAAGTGCATCAGGCAAGAGGCAAATGATGACTAGATAATCTTTAGGCTTGACGTGACATGGAGATATCTAGTTTGAGGAACTCAAATTGTTTTGAGAGAGATTTAGTTTGAGTTACTTTTTCAGAGAAATCTCTTTTAAAAAAAGCAAATCAGATTATAGATTGAGAATAATAAACTTTCCTTATTTGAATATTAAGTGTCATACAGACGTTTTTTTTAACAAATTCTGATTCAATCCGACAATTGATATGTTTTTGTCATCGGCTCATCTACCCTAGCACCAGGAGCACGTGATTATAGCTAGTTAGCTTTCTTTTCCACTTTTATTTGTTAATAGAAAAAGCAAGTCAAGTCAAGGCTGTCAAAGCCTCGCTGGATCTGACATTTCAATAAAAGCACAAAAGCATTGCACGTCAGTATTGCTCATTAAGTTCCTCGCACCTTCCGCGCAGTGCTACGGAAAGCACGCCAGCAATAATTGACTTTTCCGTACAGCATGCATCGCAGCGGTTCAATTGGCACGATGAGTCCTGGATCATTGGATGGCCAGAACTCAGCTTTGTTCAAGCACGCAGAATAAAAAGGGTTGCGTGTGGGTTATCCAACGTCGAAGGCTGAGAATCGGTGGCGATCACAGGAGCGTGTGGATTGCGTCGTTTGAGCACTCCTTAGGTAATCGGTGACTCCTTGCTCTTCTCCTCTTCTCTCTTCCTTCTTTTGATCGCTCCATATGTTTTGATGAGTTGTATGAGAACTTTTGTTTTTTTCTTTAGTGTAGCTCTCAATTGAGTTCTGAGAGACATTTATGCAATTCTTAGATCTGGGATTCCATATTCCTCTTCTTTTGAGGCTTCGCTCCATCAATCTCGAGATGAAAAGAAAAGAATCTACTCATTCAGAAGATATGATATACGGAGCATCTTCCTCATCGACCTCTCCACATGTAGGTGATTATGAAGGCGGCGGAACCAAAAAGCCGAAAGGAAATGACTACGAAGTGTTCTTGAACTTTAGAGGGAAAGACACTCGTAAAGGTATCACCGATTATCTCTATACTAGCCTTGTTGATGCAGGAATTCGAGTGTTCAGAGATGACAATGAGCTCCATGTTGGTGAGGAAATTGGTCCGGAGCTTCTCTGCAGTATTACACAGTCTAAGATCTCGATCCCGATTATATCTGAGGATTACGCTTCTAGCAAATGGTGCCTTTGCGAGCTTGTTCAGATGTTGAAGTGTAGGAAAAGCAGAGGGCAAGTAGTGTTGCCCATATTTTACAAAGTGGAACCCTCACAGGTGCGACATTTGACAGAAAAATTTGAAGATGCTATCAATGCACATAAAGAGAAAGTGGAAGAAATGGTTGTGAAGGAATGGGAAGAAGCGCTCAAAGAAGTCGGTTCCTTGAAAGGATTGGAATCGGAGAAAATTAAGAATGGGTACGTTATCCTCCACTAAAACATTGTTTGGTTTCTCATAACTAGATCTTACTTAAAAAAGAATATAAATATTGCCATCCTATACTGAAATTCGGTGTTATTTGACAGGCATGAAGGAGAATTAGTTAAAATTGTTGTCAGAGAAGTCATAGGCGAGTTAAAAAGACCTTTTCAACTAATTGTTCCCAAAGAGTTGGTCGGAATTGATAATCGTGTAGAAGAAATTATGAGCTTCATAGATGCTAAATTTAATGATACAAGGATTATTGGAATTTATGGAATGGGTGGTATCGGTAAGACAACTCTTGCAAGGGTCTTGTACAACAATCTCTCCAGTCGTTTCGAAGATCATAGTTTCGTGGCAAATATTCGAGAAACATCTCTACGCAAGGGTATTGAACGGCTACAAAAGCAGCTCATTCGCGATATACTAAGAAGTCCAGAAAATGTGTCTAATGTCGATGAGGGAATCGGTATCATCAAATCTCGATTTACAAGTAAGAAAGTCCTAGTTCTTCTTGATGATGTGGATGATAAGGCTCACTTGAATGCTTTGGCCGGAGAAAGTAGTTGGTTTAAATCTGGAAGTATAGTCATCATAACCACTAGAAACAAGAGTATTCTTGACGAGGCTAGGGCAGCCTACATGTGCAAACTCGAGAAGTTGCCTTTGGATCCATCATTGATTTTATTTAGTAGACATGCATTTCGAAAGGATTCTCCTCATGGTGATTATGAGGTTATCGCTCGTGATATCGTGTCTACTACTGGGGGGCTTCCCTTAGCTCTTGAAGTTATAGGTTCTTTCTTGCGTGAAAAGAAAAATAAAACATGGAAAGATACATTAAAGAAATTAAAGAAAGTGCCTAACCAGAAAGTGCAAGATACATTGATGATAAGTTACGAATCATTAGATTATGAGACGAAACAGATATTTTTGGATATAGCATGTTTTTTCATTGGATCATCTAAACAAAGTGCAACTTATATGTGGGATGCTTGTGAATTATTCCCGGAGAATGGAATTGAAGTATTGAGCCTTATGTCGCTAATTAAAATTGATGAAGACGGCAATCTAATGATGCATGATCAACTGAGAGATCTTGGAAGGGAAATTGTTCGTCTAGATGATCCAAAGGAGCCTCAAAAGCGTAGCAGATTATGGATTTGTGAGGAAGCCTCGGACGTGCTTGACAACAACAAGGTAAGAGCTATCTCTACTTGTCTTGGTTAGTCAACGTGAGTCCTTCTCTTTCTTGTTTGAGATAAGATTATTGTCAGTCTCCAAAACTTTTCACTTTTACCAGCAAAAGAGCTCTTTCAATTAGAAACTGTTTTTGCCTAATTCTAGGACATAATTGAGGAGAAATTTCTTGGTCATTGATGATTGATATATATCTTTACCCGGTAGTACATGATGAGGACATTCTCCTTTTGGTAACTTCAACGCAACAACAAAACTACAAATAAAAATCATAATGTTTGACAATGCACTTTCAGAGAAAACCTGACATTTATAAATTGTTGGGCCCATGCTTTTTTCACATTTCTGTTTGATGCATGTGTTTGATGTTTGGATTCTTCTTTTGATTTCTTGTGAGGTTTTTTCGCTCTTTTTTCTTTTACTGAGTATTGACTTCTTTTGAGTTGTTTGCTATGATAAATGAGACATCCATCCATTTGTGATGATTAGCTATCCTTGTTCTGTATTTTCCAAACTGGGTTAAGTACAGATTTAGTCTCCTAAGTATCGCTACTTGTGGCGATTTAGTCCCCTATCCCTTCTTTAATGCTCAATGTAGTCTTTTATCTTTCACAATTTGTACAATCGAGTCTTTTATCGTCAACCGCTAGTTGATACAGTCAATTTATTGATGTGGCTTTCATATTTATCTACGATATATGTGCAACATTGTAATTAACCCTCTAAACATTTATTGTTTTCATTCTATAGACTTTTCATCGTAGTACATAATTTTTTCCATGAATTTGCTATTTTTTTTTGTGATGATGGATAATTTTTGTATGAACGCCCTAATAACATTTATTGTCAAATTTTGACTACCACGTTATTATAGATATATCTACAACGGTCAACTCTTAGTGAGCATTTTATTTAGTACATATTTAGTATTTTTATATCATTTACGTGTTAAATATGAGCTATTATGATTTATAACTTTTTACCAATTTATTTCACATCATTTACTTAGAAAATATTTTCTCATAATGAATATTCAAACAACTTTTCAATCATAACAGTCATCACTTATTGCACATTTTGTTATAGTCACTATATGATTTTAATATTATTTATTTGTAAAAAATGACCCGTTGCACATAATAAATGATAAATCCCTCAATTGTTTCCATTCCTATAAAATATATGTGTAACTAGAACAAATATGTGTGTACAACTAAGTGACATATGTTATGTGGTAAGATCTATGAATTAAAATAAGACATTTGAAGGAAAAAGTTGAGATTTTACAATAAGTGGGATTGACAGATTCATAAGTATTCTACTTAGATCTTTTAACAGTCGAAATACTTTTAACTTCTGCTGCACACTTCAGTTTCAAGACCTTGATCTTTCTCCTATTCTTCTCAAATTCGATGAAAGTAAAAAGCCTACACCATGATAGTATGATATCAAATTGAAATTAGTCCTTCTTTTTATATACAATTGGTCTCATTTCATCAATTAAAACTTCTAGTCCACAATGTTTCGTAATTGTAGGGCACTAGTAAGATTGAGGCCCTTCGTCTTCACAATTTTGATCGGCAGGCCCTTTGTCGTCACAATTTTGGTTGGCTTGGTGAGATTGAGGCCCTTAATCGTGCTGTTTCGGACAGAAAAAGTTACCGAGGTGAACAATTTAATGAACTCACCAACTTGAGATTCCTTCAAGTGTACGGTGTGAATTTCACCGGAGATTTCCAAAATTTGCTTCCTCAATTAAGATGGCTTCAGTGGTGGAATTGTCCCTCAGATTTCGAAGTGGCCAACTTTCATCCGAAAAATTTAGTCGTGCTCGATCTATCAAATAGTGACATTACAGAGGACTGGGGAGGATGGGATCCACTCAAGGTAAGAAATTGAGAAGATATATCTGTTGTGAATAATAACGTGTTACCAAAGGTGCAATCGCCCCCAGTTCTCCTTTCTTTCTTTTAGAAAGGTTTAATATCGTTCCTCGGATTCAGGATTTTCAGGTAAATATAAGAGGAATTTATAGCTATCTAAATACTCAGAATCTTTTGCCCCTTAATATGTTTAATTGATAAAACTCAACAACCCATCATGCTTAACCTTAGACAATACTAGAAAGAAAAAAATTAACTATATTAATTAAAATCAATCAAAATTTTAATTACTTAATTGTGCCTATTTTGTATTTCATTAATCTAGTTGGTTTATGGCTCTAAGATAATTTCTCCCCGTGCAAAAGCATGTCTTTTGAGCGATTCTTGTTATATCTCTATATCAATCTTCTTTCTTGGAGAAACAGAAACTCCCACGCAGTGACTTGTGTTGTACATTCATACTGAAATTCTAAATTCATTTTAATCTTAGAGTAATGGATATAATTTATGAATTTCTCTGACTTGTTGCACGAAATATTTAATCATTATAATTGTTGATTACGGAAGTCGTGACTGTATAACACAAATATAAATTATTAATGTTATGAGAGTAATAAAGTTATCCTTCCAGTGGCATTAATTTTTTTTGGAATACAACATTCTTTATATCTTGTTCATATAACATCAAAAAATTGCTTTTCATAATTAAACTACCCGTTATTGAAGTGTCATCTGCTTTTTGATAATAAAATTTGCTTATGTCTAATCAATGGCATCGCCATAGCTCTTAAAAACTGAATATATTTTCTCTTTGAAAATTTGTTCGAAAATAAACATGGTTAGCACTTGTACGTCCCTAACATTCTTTTTGCAATGGATATGCTTTAAAAAAATCAATATGGTGGTGTAGCCTAATACTACTGATAAAACATTTAAAATTAAATAAGACAATTGTGAAAGAGTAGTGGAGCATAGGTATTTTTCAGGAATTTTAAAGGTTCTTAAAAAAAAAAACAAGGAATAGAGGAAAATCACACATTGCAGCTTTCCAATTTCATTCAGGTTTTCCTTTGTTTCTTTCAGATGGCAACCGAGCTGAAAGTTCTCAACCTCTCGTATTGTAAACATTTGAGAAGAACTCCCGACTTGTCTGCTTTCAAAAGCTTGGAGATTTTGATTCTTGGAAACTGTTGGAGTCTGGAAGAAATTCATCCTTCTATCTGGCATATCAAGACTCTCGCCTCCTTGAATGTCGAGAATTGTGGGGAACTGAAGGAGCTACCAGCAAGAGTAGGGAGAATGGAAGAATCGAGGGAGCTTCTCATGAATGACACCGCTATAAAAGAGAATCCTATTTCAAGAGGTTTTTTGATGAAGCCAAAGACTCTAGGTGCTCTAAGTTGTGATAAATTTGCTCAACTTCCAGAATCCATGGGCTCCCTTATGTCGTTAACTCAGCTAAACTTACGTGGGATAGGGATTGAAGAATTACCTGAATCCATTGGTTCTATGGAGCTGCTGGAGACTCTTAATGCCTTTGGCTGTGAATCATTAGCTTGCATACCTAGCTCCATAGGCAATCTAGCATCTCTGTTTCGCCTTGACCTATCGGCATGTCGATCGTTGAGAAAGATCCCCGACTCGATTGGAAAGTTGGCATCGTTGACCGAGCTGCGATTAGCGCTGACATGGATTACAAAATTACCTGAAAGCATTGGGAATCTGCAAAATTTGAGGATCTTGAACATTGATGAAACTCTCGTGACGGAATTGCCTAGTGCCATTGGAATGCTGTCGAAACTTCAAGTGTTGAGTGCATCATGGTGCACATGTCTGAAAGGATTGCCTAATAATATAGGCGAATTGGTTTCGCTAAACAATCTTCGTTTATACAAATCGGGCATTTTGGGCTTGCCAGAAAGCATTTCTAAGCTCTCTTCTCTCCAACATCTCGGTGTTGCATTTTGCGAAAACCTTCGAGGAATACCGGAACCGCCCTCCAGCTTAACAGCTCTGCACATCACTTTCCCAAGTCCATCGTTACCATTTCTTTCCAAACTAACCCTTCTCGAGGAGCTCACTCTTTTCGATTGCCGTCCACTTGAATGTCTCCCCGAGCTTCCCGTCCGACTATCCAGGGTTTCTCTTCCATTTGATACCGACGAGGAGCGCTTATACGAATTGATCCGCGACAAGTCCTTTGGGCTAAGAAAAGTCGCCAGACGCTGGGGGTTAGGGTATTTCATACACTACGACATTGAATAGGCATATTCCCAGATTGTCCAGAGGTAACGAGCCCAAATTCTCCGGAGGTGACGAGCCCAGGTGTATATCTGACTGAGCTTGAAGATCAGCTCCCATGGCTCTCCGCACGCTGCTGGCCGGAAAAAACCCTAGCCTCCGCCTCCGGCCTCGGCTCCAATTGGCGGCGTCGCCACGAGCTTCCGCGGCCTCCAGACCTTCTTCCCCCCTTTCCCCGATCTCCCCTGCGACTACGGCGCTCTCCAGCCCGCAATCAGCGGCGAGATCATGCAGCTGCACCGCCAGAAGAAGCACCACCACCGCCAGGCCTCCAACACGGCGCTCGAGCAGCTCCACGACGCCATGGGCGAGGGCGACGCTGCGGCTGTCGTTAATAAGTTGCAGAGCGCCTATCAAGTTCAATGGCGGAGGTTCGATTCTTTTCTGTTTTGTCCTCTTGTTTCTTTCGTTCCTTCTGTCTGGGATTTAGTTTTTGTTCAATGCTCTCGACTTTGTTCCATTTAAGGTTAATGGACTGAAGGAAGGCGTTATTTGTGATGAAAGCTTCTTGAGATTCAATGAAATTGAGAGTGAAAGGTGGTCGAGAATTTAACTCATGGACAATTGAATATAAGAAGCGGCACATTTCAAAGATGAGCTATCCTTCGCGAGGGAACTTGTAGTGTATATAAAGCGACTGATCTGGCTTTGCCAGCACTAGGTAAGATAAATCTATTATCTGCAGTCGCAGCTCATGTCGAATCCTTGATGGGTTAGCTCCCCTCTAGAGCCAAAGTTCCTGGTTTTTTAGTATTTGTCTGCCATAGCTCACCAATGTCTGATTGGTTGTCAATAGCTTTTTCCATATCGATGTGAATGGTGCGCTGGTCCTCCTGACGAGCCATAGTACTATAGAATGTACAGAGTGACAAGTTTTGGATCTATATGGCACTAGTGAGAATGGGTGGCATTCAAATGTGACCATATTCAGATTGTGTCGTGCTTCCTGACTAGGAGGAAAATTTTGTTGAGGGTTGTCTTTCCGTCCTGAAGACAGTTGCTTAGATTAGTCACTGTATCGGTAGGTTTTATTTATTAGCACATTCTTATTGCAGTTGCTACCAACTAAATGGAAGTGGAAAAGAGGTGAAATTAGGGTTTCTGAGTTTCGTTTTTGAATAATTTACAGCATGTGATGAACAAGTGTGAAATGTTGTATCAGATATTATCAATTCATTTTTAAGTAAGCTTCATAGGCATTGCGGTGGTAGTTCACGCAATTTGGCAAAGGCATGTTGAACCACGACTGTGATTGAACTTTCTTACAGAACTCCATCACCTTTGAAACACGCTTCATTCAGGTCTATTGCTCGAAAACAATTTGCAGAAATTTTGTGTTTTTTTTTTAAGAGCACTGATGGCTGTGCCGGCCCTTCTATTACCTCTTCTTGGTTTTATAAATTATCCAACAATCTTAAATTTTCTTTTTATTTTCTCTATGTGCATATTCAACTGTTAAATATTAGCTTTTGCCGCTTAGCCCGTTATTATCCTTTATGATTTTGCTCCTCTTACGATTTTGTGGATGTAACCCATGTTCAGGTCATGTTAATCACTTCATATTCTGGAATAATCTTGCTCCAATTCAGGTAAATGCATGTTTGACAAATTTTGATCCATGCGGTCGCTCTATGTCTCTCTGACCTCATATGTTGGGTAATGCAGGGAGGAGGTGGTGAGCCACCAAAAGGTTCCCTCAGTTGGGCCATTGACAATCATTTTGGCTCTTTAGATGCACTTGTGCAGAAAATCAATGCAGAAGGTGCTGCTTTACAACATCAAAACAAATGCTGCGAGTTGCAAGAATCTAGTTGAGATTCAGGGGACCTTTCGAGTTCGAAACATCTAAGGCTATCAAGCGTTGCAAACTGCAAGAGTCTGGTAAGTTTGGATATCTCTGTGTCCATTCAATCACTTGGCCTTTCAAGTTTAAAGAATCTAAAAGAATCAGATGCTGCCAACTGCGAGAATTTAGTTGAAGTTTGAGGCTTTGACCCATATAGAATATCTGGAAACGTTTTGTATCTCTGGATGCGCATCCATTGAAAGATTCCATGCTGCAAATTGCTGAAATCTAGTTGAAATTCATGGTCTTAACAGGTTGGATTGACTGGCAAAATTGAATATCTCTGGGTGCTCTTCTATTAAAAGATTACCAGACTTTTCCAGTTTAAAAACTTTGAATTTCACGCTGCAAATTGCAAGAATCTAGTTGAAGTTCGAGGCCTTGATTGATTAATTAGAATCTTTGGATAGTTTTAATGTCTTTAGATGCATGTCCATTAAAAGATTACCCGACCTTTCAATCCATTAAAAGATAAACAGACCTTTCAAGTTAAAAATGTCTAAAGGGATTCTATGCTGCAGACTGCAGGAATCTAGTTGAAATTCACGGCCTTGAGAGGTTGATTATTGGTAAGATTGGATATCTCTCATTGCACATCCATCGAAAGATAACCACACCTTTCCAGTTTAAAGAATTTGAGGGCTTTCATGTTGCAAACTGCAAGAGTCTTGTTGAAATGTGGCCTTGACGGGCTGGATTTTTTGGTAAGATTGGATATCCGTGGTTGCACTTCCCTTGGAAGATTATCGGATCTATAGTGCTCGAAAACCCTGACAAGGTTGAACATCAACCACTGTGAGAAGCTACATGACATTCAAAGCCTAGAGATATTCTCATCCTGCAAAAGTTTGTGTATTCAAGGATGCAAGTCGTTAGCAAAATTCCCAGATGTGTCGAAATTGGAAAATTTAAGGAACTTGATAGTGACAGCTTGTTGGAAACTATCAGACATCCCAGGGCACAAAAGATCGAGATACCTATAAAGTATAGAGATTTCATAATGCTTGTCAATTGTCGCACGAGACTGCGACAAACTAATTGGGCCTCGAGGGCTTGGAGACTTGGAGCTTCCACAAACTTTAGACATTTCCAGATTCAAGTCGCTAAAGCCAATATCTGAATTGTCTTGAGTTTTCCTCATATAGAATATCAGCAGTTGTTTTGTCAGGTATTCATGAGATCACATTCTGGTGATAGTTTGATATTTGAGACGATCCCTGTCCCCTAATAAGGCAAAATCTTAGACTTGATAAAATCATGAATGGAGCTGGCAGTCCTGGTGAATCATCCGTGAGTGATTCTTTTTTGTACACTACTGAGTGATTCATGTTTCTTAGTTGGAATATAATCTTTCTTGATCATGGTAGGAATGTAACTGGCAGCCCTTGTTGGAGGAATAGATCATAAGAATGCCTTTTGAGAAAATAATCTGTCATTTGTCATCCACTATGATTCTTCAATCTTAGCATGATATCGGGAACCACACTTTTAGATTAATAATGTTTTTTCAAGTTTTGTATTTGAAGGTTGTTCTGCTTGCTCGCAGGTCATCTATAACATGTTTGTTTTGTTTACATGGCGAGTTAAACTTTTATTATCTTTTGTTGATTCTTATAATGGCAGGCATACTGGCTTATACTTGATGTTGATACAGTGGAAATTACAAAACATTGAAAGAACAAGCAGCTCTTTAAGCTTTGACCATAGTCATCTCAGTTTCTTAAGGTGGATGACTGAAATCCCACACTCTAAAATGACGTGAATTTGCTTGCTTTCCTGACTGCTTGAATTGGTTTTTTATTGTTCTGCGATGTTGCAACTGTAATTTTCTTTTGTCTGTTCTCCTATAATTGCTCAAAGTAATTTAATGTTTGACATGTGAATTATTAAGGAAGCTTCTGGAGGCAAAGTACAAAAACACATAGGCAAAGGAGAGCGATCATGCTGCTGGACTTGTGGTGCTCTGGATCCCCAAAATTCGACGGGTTCTTTCAAGCTAATCATCAGGTGTGAATTTGATATGATGCAAGGCTGCAAGAGTGACTTCATAATTTCATTGTCATTTTAAGTTCTTGATCAGCCGTTTGTGTTGAATTTGATCCTAACAAGATTCACACCGTTTTTCCTGTCACCACGTGATTTACTCTTCTGCTCATTTGTCATTCCAATGGTGGGATTTTTTCGCATCGCCAATGAGGATTGGTTCTTGTGATGCTCTATTTCGACTGTCCAGTATGCAAGTTTTTGTCTCCTGCCGCGTTCTAATTTTTCTAATGATCTTGGTTTTCATGATATTGGAACTGTGAATAGAGCCGAACTTCAGGGAGGAGAACCATATATTTGTTCCAAAGAAACTTATGAACTAGCAATGTTATCTATATGAATCATGCTGGAATTATGAAAAGAAGCATTTTAACAAGTTTATTCACTTTATGACGAGGAGCAACATCTCACGATCTATCAATAGTCCACCTATATCTAGTAAAAATAATGATCCTCATGTATAATGAACTCACATAATAAGCTTATGGCAATGGACATGAACTGGACTAGCAGTGTTGCAAAGAGATACGAAGCATCACTTCCAAGTGGTGGCGGAGATGTGGTGGTCCCAGTGGTTGGGGCTGGTAGTTACACGGATCCCAGCTGGACTGGGGGTCGGGGATGGTGGAAGTTTCACTGACGGCGCCAGCTAATTTTTGGTCCTGAGAGCAACGGTCACTGTTTGCAAAGGTGTAGATGAAGTAATACTGGCAGGTGTTGTCAAGGGAAAAGGTGGCTGGCCCGTTGGTTAGTGTATGAACATAGAAGCGCTGTTGCAGTTATTGTTATCACCATTTGACATGTTCACGACGTCGTGTGACCCTGTGTTGAAGTAGAACACTGCAAAAATAATGGAAGATCATTGGCATTAAAGAGTGAAGCTCAAGATTGATTTTTCGGCCACTGAATCTCAAGATTGATTTCACATAAGTATGTCTATGCAATTTAAATCAGGAGATTTTACTAACAGAGCTTCTGTAAGCTAGAAATTATGAGAACTGTTTTTTCTTATCTTCATATGTTAACTTTCTAGCATTTATGCGCCAAAAAGAATGGGATATTGAGTTCTCTTCAGGAAGGTATATATAGATTTATGTCTCTCCCCTCTGTGAGAGCTTCTCTCTCTTTGTTGAGAGCTTTCCCTACATCACAATGATGTTTTCTTTCAGCTATCTTCCTTCATGATCATCACCTCCCATTCTTTTGATCATCCATAATCCTCATATTTGCTCTTTATCATCATTAGTTATTTCCATCTGCTTTCTATTTTAGTCAAGTCTCTTTGGCATTGTTTCGTCGCTTTAGTTTTCCTATCAATACACTGCCCCTATCAACTGTTCGACAACATTTCTGAGTTTATTCTCTGCTGATCTATTTCTTTTTTCACATTACAGGATGCCTGCAGAGGTTCCCTTAACATCGCAAGCATCTGGTAGACAATCTTCTGGGGGATCATTTGGTTGGAGCAAGTTGAAGATGAGGAGGCTTTGATGGTTTTGATTAAAAGGATTTTGTTGAAGTGCTTGAGTAGGCTGACTAACTAATGTTTGAAGGAAAGCCTGGGCTGGTACGGTTGAGATTACAATAACCCCTCAAAATAAGAAAATGTGTTTTCTCAGGTTTCACGATTGGCACCAAGCAGGGAGTCCTAAGTTCTGGCCCTTGGTCGATTAGGGGAAATTGCATAAACCTGCAGAGATGGGATGCTCAGAGGAGACGGGAGAACCTCTGTTTTCATGAACTGGAGGTGTGGCTGCAAAGACATGGATTGGCCTTTGACAAAATGAAAGAACAATGCGAAACCTATTGCTCGTTGGGTGGGCAAACTGGTGAAAGTTGGGTCGATTCACACCAAATCTCGGGGTCGTGGATTCCTTTGTCCTAAAATTTCCAGATGCTATATGTGTACTGTGGAGTAAGGCACTAGCTTTGTTACTTTGACTGAGTATAAAACTTTCTGAGTGGTTGGTGAGTGAGTTTGAGATTGAGATACAGAAAGCCGGTACTAATCATTCACCGACAAGAAAAATTCCAGAATGATGCATTCACATCTGCCTTTTGATGGCGTGAAAGGTCAGTTCTATGATATTGCCCGAATGGATTGCGGGATGGGGTGGGAAGAAGTGACGTCTCTCAAACGTTTGTAATGGGATTGAGGAGGACGATTTGATAATGGACTGCGATTCCACAAATTCTTTAGTCTTATTATATTTAATTTGTAGATCATTCCAGCAAACTACCATAATATTTGACTAATCGATATTTGCTCAATCGGATCAAACATATATGATGAAACGGCCAAAAGTCCAGATCATGTTATCCTAGTCTACATCTAGATTTGCAAGCTTCAATGTCATGATGTTGTATTAGTTACTTCATACTCTACAGTAATTCTGCAGAATAACTAAATTAGCACATATCACTAGGGGTGTCAGAACCGAACCGAAAAACCGAACCGAGATACAAACCGAACCGAACCGAACCAAAAATTTTGTGCATTTCGGTTCGGTTCGGTTTTCGGTTCGGATACTAAAAAAAAACCATTCTTTTTCTTTCAGTTCGGTTTATTTCGGTTCGGTTCGGATCGAACCGAACTGAAAACACACCCTTTGCTTTTTACCCTAAAAGGTTCTTCAGACCGGTGCTACTCTCTCTGGCTCTTCGTCTTCCTCAGCCTTACTTCCCAGATCTTCCGGCCCCGTTCCGTCAAGAAGAGCTGGGACACTATCAACCTCATCCTCGTCCTCTTCGCCATCATCCGCGGGTTCCTCAGCAGATCCAACCACGGCGGAGATGCGGGATCGTCGGGCTCGTACCCGAGGTCGGACTCGCGGAAGTCGTCGTCGTCGTCGAACCGGCGGCGACGCCGTACAAGTGGTACGACAGCTACGACCGTCGGAGTCCGATCGGGCGAATATGGGTTCTCCTCGAGTTCGTCTGAGAGGATGAGAAACAGCAGCTCGTACCCGGATCTGAGGGACGCTTGATTTACCTTTGTGTCTCTTCTTCCCTCTGCTTCACCAAAGGGATGCGGAGGTGGAGGGGCTGAGGGAGTGGGTTAGGCAAGCTCGTGGATGGCCTCGAAATGGAGAGGGAGGCTTTGAGCAACGAAAACCTGCAGCTCCTTCCTATACGCTGAGTCTCATCAGGGCCCCGAGACGGGGACTTGGCGGATTCGAACAAGCTGCAGAGCCTCTGGACCTTACCTTTGATGGAATCGCCGGTGGTCATGAACGATTCGAACGAGCTGTAGATGCACGGAACCAGCTCACTCGAAAGAGGGCTTACCGCCACAGGGCTTTTCCGCGGGCTCCGCGCACATGGTGACCGACCGGCGATCTCCACTTCCGTTCAGAACGAGAAGTTGAAGTTGCAGAATGAGAAGTTGGTCAGGGAGAAAGAGGAAGGGGAGAGAGCGAGCGATCCAAGCGGCGATGAATAAAAAGCAAAAAAAAAAAAAAGAAGAAACCGAAAACTGATCCGAACCAAACCGAATTAAACCGAACCAAATTGATTTTTCGGTTCGGTTCCAATTCGGTTCAAGGGGGTTTTGGTTCGGTTCAAGAGGGCACCCTTAATGGTTCGGTTCGGTTCGGTTTTTCAAGAAAACCGAACCGAACCGAACCGTTTACACCCCTACATATCACAACTCAATCGCTTGTATGTAATGTCATACTATTTTCGCCCAGGCCAAAAGTTCAGATCAAAAGTTATGTTCAAGAGAAAGTGTCAAACATAGCAGAGTCGTGGAAGTAGGAAATTTTCTGGAGTCAAGAGATCATAAAAGTCATTGATCAAGTAAGCATCCCATAAACTCCCAAACCTGCCATTGATTTGAGAGAAATCGGAGAGTGACAATGACATGTTCAGTCATCAATGAAGTGTGAAGATTCAAGAATTTGACAAATTAAACCACAAGCAATGCACCGAGACTGGTGAATCCTATGAAAAACTGATTAAAGAGTCCAAACCAAACTGAGCAGTATCATGACGTGAACAATGAAAAGAACAATCTTTAGTAAAAGATAACTCCAAAATGTTTGAATTCAGACATAGTCATATGGAATGTGAAGGTATTAGGAAGCAATAATGATTTGACAAGGAAATGCAGTAATAGAATCTATCAGTTGACCGGTATCAATGTGAAAGTGATCGTTGTATTAATATACAAGACTGTATGTCACGCCCCGAACCCCAATGGGCACACAACGCCCCTTACCTGGTCGATAAGTGCAACGTCCTAGGAATGTCGCCGACCTCAAATCGCCATCAGAGATTTACAACCACAACGGACACTAACAAATATTCCCGGACAATTAAAACTGGGGAATCAATCAGGGAGAATGAACATATTCGTTCTCATTGCCAAACTTACATCATAATATTTACAATATCGATTATTATTACAAGCACACCGAACCAGTAATTATTAACTTCCAAAATACAAAAAGGATCAGCATCCTAGATCAGCATTATCCAAAAATGGGGCCCTCTCAATTTATTGCCTCGCTCCCAGAACTAGTCCCTACGCCCTCTCGGAGGCGTCCACTCTGACTCACTGTCCTCGGCATCACCACATGAATCCTCCTCAGCTGTCTATTCACCTGACGGCTCCGAGTCGGCCTCAATATGATCATGGCTCAGGCGGGGGCTCTGAAATGGTTTGGTTGAAATAACCGTGAGACACTTCTCAGTAAGTACACCCCTAAACCCCACCTAGGCTATCACGTACCTCCAGGAAATTTCAGAAAACACAATCACACACTTACACCACAATCACATAGCAGGCACATCAACACAATCGCAAGCATGCACAATTTTCATGTCATGCACTCGTTCCGTTCTCATCATGTCTCATCCACATTCCTCGCCAGTGACCCGCGTATATGTACACGCCTCAGGTACACTGCGACCACTTATCACTTCCCATACCACTCGCCAGTGTCCTGCGTAAACATACACGC